TAATGGTTCGTTTAATTAACTCGATTAAATAAATATTAATCTAATTAGCTTAATTAAAGTAATTAATTTAACAATCAACTATCCACCACGGTTCAACAATATTATTTAAATTTTTCAATGCTTACAAATTGTCCTTTCGAGAATTGCTTGATGTACCTTAAATGTAGAGGGAAGGAAGTCTTGAAACCTTGCAAATAATAATACTGGGAAACTCATGCACCATATTTTTATTTTTATTTTTTTGCCTTAACCATTTGGGCTCCCACATGGAATAAGGAAATAACTCCAATTAAAATGGGCCTCTCAATATTATTTACCTTTCAAATTCATTAAATCCAATAAACCCACAGTCCAACTTCGTTCGTGAAGGTGTCCATAACATGCATTGCATTTCTGAATATGATCAGGATTGCTATTTCAAACTGAATTCACTTGTTCTAACTCATAAATCTAATGTCGAGCATTGATATAATATATAATAATAAATCTAATAATAGTAAGTGTAAGTTAGTACTCCAAAATTAGATATATGTTCTAATATGTCTATGCTTATGGAATTGTATATTGCATCGAAAATATTATATTATTAATTTTTATAGAACAAAATAACTATTAAAATTGTGATAGTGTATAATAAATATCAAATTATTTTACCTAATTACTTACAAAATCAATTTTACTAATTTTACCAAATATTGATTGTATTTCTAATTAAAAAATCTTAATATAAATCAAAATCAAAATGTTACAATAATAATCAATCATACTTAGTATAAAAAAATCTTCTTAATATAAATAACAATAGTATCATAATTATTACTTTTATGACCTCTTTTGTTTTCCATAACATTTGATGGGTAATACATGGACGCATGGTGACACTTTTCAATATAATATCGATTCTATAATTGTTTTTTTTTTTTTTAAAAAAAAGTTATTCACTATTTATTCAAAAAGATATTTTAATATAATCAAGAATTTTTATGTTGGGTACCATTATTGGATATTTAGTTTTTAAATAAGTTTTTTTTTTTAAGAGAACAAGGACAGAGAAGGAGAGAGTTTTTCCCTTCCCGTGGGGGAAAGGATGGGGGAAACATCCCCGCCCTGACCTAAACCTCATTTCCTAAATTATATATTATATTATTTTATACTTAATGTATATGATGGGCGAAATGATTAATCTATGTGCACGTCCTAACGTACATACCCTGAGAACTTGGAGGGTGTGATTGAGTGAAAATGTCTAATTTATCCTTAATCAAATGTCAAGGAATCAAAGGGAACTCTCTCACCCTTTAGAGGTGCAGCGAGGAAATTAGTTGGTGTCCAATAGTGGATACCTTGGTACAAGCAATATTCTTTGATATAGTTTCCTATCAATTCTGTGTGAAAATTGTTTTCCACTCAAAAAATATGAGTTTGAGATTGCTTTCCAAGAAATTGGTTGTGATAGGGCGATTCGGGAGAGACAGACCGGCGATTGAGGCTATTAGGTCAGAGTTTCGAGCATTTTGGGCGAAATACGGATTGGTTCCCTCAATGCAAGTTCAATCCTGATTAGATGCTCTGAAAATGATTGTAAAAAGCTCTTGACGAGAAATCGTGCGACTGTAGCTGGAGCGAACATTGGTGATCGCCGGAATGGCAGAGCTCGACGCAAGTCCCGGTATGGCTAAATCTCCCTAATCTTCCATTACATTTATTTAATCCTGGTATGTTGGAGAGAATTTGCGAACCAATTGGAAGTTATCTGTTCTCGGATTCGGCGACTGAGAGGAAGTGTTGCGAGAGTGAGAGTTGAGATTGACGTGAGTAAGGCATTGCCAGACCGAATATGGATTGCGATTGGAGGGGAGGGGAGGGGACTGGATTTTGGCAGAAAGTTTGGTATGAACAGATTCCTAATTTCTGTTTAAATTGTCATCAATTGAGAGCTAAAAAGGAGTGTAGAGGGAAGCAGCCGGAATTTCCGATAGAGGAGGAGGTCGGGGAGGAGGCTGAGCTGGTGGAAGTGCCAGCCCAACACTGGAAATCAAAAGGAAAAAGAGAGTGGTTAATAAGGAGGCTTGGGAAGAAGCTAAGCAGGATATATTTACAACAAACTCTTGAGAGTTTCCTTGGGATCGGAAGTTTCTTCACCTACTCCGTTGAAGTCCTTTAACAAGTTGTGGGTGATCACAAGCCTGCCGTAGACGTAAAAGCATCAACAAAATATTTGCATAATTTTGCCTCACAGTTCCAGCTGCAGCATATGCCTATGAGAAGATAGTATATGAAAGTTAGAGGAATTCATTTAAAAAAAAAAAAAATTAAAAAAAGACTAAACTAATAATTCCTATGGATACTTATTAACTCACTCCTACTCAACGCCTATTGGTTTCTCATTGTTATGTCTTAGCATTTCTTCCAAGTCCAAATAATTTGGTTTATGGTCTCTGGTGGTGGCCCATGTTAGTCCCAACTTGCGACCTTGATTCAAATATGGCTTCCATATTTTCATCATCTTATTAAAAGAGATGCCAAGAAATTCCCATATTTTTTCATGTCTTCTCACTTCTTTGCTAATCTATATCCTATTACCCTCCATTCATATCAACAACCCCTAGCTAATGCCTAATGGTGAGATCAGCATCTCTTGACAAGGAAGTACTCAAAAAAGTTTGAAGTATAATCCCTATTTTTGTGTATGAAAAATATTCATCATAATAGCATTTTTACCATATTTTTATGGAACACAAACTTGATGAGAGTGAAATCACAACAAAGTGACGAGACATGAATTGCTGTGAAGAAGCACAAACTGACAAAGTGACATTTTTTAACAAAAAGCAACAGGACCACAAAATCAATTTTTAACACTTGATTATATATATGATTTACAATGACATGTAAATGGTCGGTAATACAACCCCTACGCGAGAAGCAAAAAGCATTGTGGATAAGCTTAATAGAAACAAACTTATGGCTTTTGAAAAACTACTTTCGAGTTTATTTGTAGAAGCTATAACTCCTATAAGATCTAAAAATCACAGACAAGAATTCCTTGCCCCAAGGACCCAAAGTTCTCTCTTTCTATTAACCATTGGATTTTAAGCATTTCTCTACTCCAAAACTCAACCACAGAAGAAATCACTCCATTTATTAGCCACCTAGCTGGCTGCCATCATTCTAGTAAGGTAACCTTTATTCCTCAAATAAGAAATCCTCCCAAAATGCAACTCCAGTCAATCACTTAAAGATCACATCCCAAACCCAATCTATCCAATCCACCCGCTACCACTATCACTGCCAGCAACCAACCACCATAGCCACCACCATCACCCCCACCCACAGCTATTACAGTAACGACCATACTTCACAATACCACAATCGCCACCCACCTGTTATTACTGTTACCATAACTTCCCACCACCTACTTCCACCCCTAATTGTTATTGCCAACAACTGCCAGTACCACCATTATCAACAACTGCAACAGGCTCTAGCCACTTGTGTTGTATGATTTTTTATAGTTTGAGCCTCATCCAAAATAACCCTAAACCAACTCACTCTAGCAAGTGTACCACAGGATCAAAATCATCTGTATCGATCAATTCCATTCCTACCCTATCAAAATAGGAAATGACAAAAAGAAAATGGTTTAACAAAAACTTGACCAAGATATATAAATGAGGTTACATTACTACTTATTAGCCTTGGTGAAATGATATCCTATCTTCACAAAGAAGATATAGAAATATAATTGTGAAAATTGAATTACATGACAGTATTAGCAACAAATTCAGCTGCTTATGCAAAACCCCAAATCAAACAATCAAATAGGCCAGGAAATTGGAGACATACCTGTTGGTAAAATGGCTAGCTGTTAGCTGATTGTGTTAATTATAGGGTATAAATAGTTGATAACATTAGCTAATTGTAGAAAAGTGTTTGGTAAATTAGCGGTTAGCTGATAGCTGTTTGGTATAATTTATTTTCTCAAAATGCTAATTAAAAAAGTTGCTTGGAGTAGCTTTTTGAATTTTAACCTTTTGGAGTTGCAAAAAGCTAATTAACCAAACATTTATATTGATATTTTAACTAAATCAAACAATTAATAGTGGTCAAATAAGCCAAAATTGACCTATAAGCCAATTTTTTACCAAACAGGGCCATAACCTATTAGCAAAGGCTGTTCAAACGAACAGAACCTGTTCTTCTGAGAGAATCCCTTGCAATGGGACGATTCTGACCTGACATTTAGTAAAAGTTTGTTAGGGCATCCTCAATAGTGGGGGATTTTACCCCACATTTTTGTGGGTCTCAACATCCATCTCATCATCCACTATCTCACTCAATCACAAAATCTCTTCTTTCCATTAGTTTTAAGTTTTTCACAACTTTTTGTGGACCCACTATTTTATCTCCAAAATTTAATTATTTATTTATTTATTTTAGGAATTGAATCCTATGCCAGCCACGTGGCGCTGAAACCATCAATCTTCTCCCACTTTATGGAGTCACATCAAACTATGCAAGTGGAAGGACACTTTATGAACACTTTAGCTGACAAAATTTGTTATTTTGCAGGAAAAAGAATTCATCAAAATCTCCCCTTCACATTTGTGAAAAACTTGACAAAGAAAATTATACTGTTCCAAAATCTCTCCAAAATCCCCTTTTAAGGATGCCCTTATGCAAACCTGCAAAATATATTTAGAGCAAACCTGACACCGATGCTGAATGAATCCTAGAAGCTGAATAGGGAGATCAAGTCCCTTGATCTTATTAAAGGTATTATTAAAGATAGAGAAGAATAAGAAAATAAAAATTGTGAACCTGTTTTGCATGTGCCAATCAATGAAATTCATGTTATTGGGAAGTATAAATAAAATCATTAAAAAAGTGAAGTAAATGTATACTTATTTTTACTTAAAATAGATAACAACAACAAAGTTAACAACAATCGAAATTAAACACTACAAAATGACATAATTAAATATATCATAAAAGGACTTCAATAATTTATTAGTAGTGATCATCATAGCCATGGTGACAATCATGACAACATGTGAAAGTTATAAACTGATGCATATTGTGAGAACATTGAGGGCAGTTCACATCTTCTGGTATTTTATCCAAAGTTAATGGATATTCAAGAGTACAACAAGAATGTTGATCCTGAGAAGAAGCAAGTTTCTCATAACAATCTTTGAATGCTTGGCTGAAACCTTTGCTGCGTATATTGCTCTTCCATTTTTGGTACGCATTCATCACCCTCATCATTTTGTCACCTAAGTCACATGCTATTACTTCTTCCCCTTTGCTTAACAAAACCCACGCTCCAAATGTTGTGTTTTTAGCTTCGTAAGCTAGTAACTTTTGAAGTCCAAGAAAAATTTTGTCCTCATCTTCAATATGACCAGTCTTATTTAAATAATTAATTCTTGATAGGAATGCACTTCGAAGTCGTGTCCAAAACCACAAATATTCTGCATTATTAGAACTAAGTGCATAACCACCCATATTTTTCACAAGTGACTTTGCTTTCTTGTTATTTCCAATGTATGCAAATTTGATATCCAGTTGGATTTCGAAATTGACCTCCTTCACTTTAGTTGCCAATTCTTGAATACATTTAGCGTCATTCCCTCCACAAAAGAAAATATCATATTTCATTGTAGTCTGTTTAAAAACAAAAATAATAATAATAAAATTTATTGCAAGGTCAGAAAATGCCCAGCACAAATTAAAACTTAAGAAACAAAATGTTCAAATAATTTTTTTTTGTTAGGGTGAGGACAATATGCAATTTAAAATCAATTGTTTACTTATTCCTTTCATATTAGCTGTTGTTGTTTCAATTATAGCGAGCTAAGCGCTTGAAAATGGACTTACCCAATTTTCTATCCAGTAATCTATGTTATAGGTGTCTGAACCTGGATAGCCCAAAACCAAAAGTAGAAGTCTCCCAGAGTCGACTTTACCCAAAAGTTTAAGATTCCATGTCTCTTTATCCCAAAGCATTTCTTCATTTTTACTAGTGTAATTATAGGAAGAATCCTGAACAATAACAAAATAATTATTAATAATAAGAAAGATTACTTAGCTTTTAGACTTGAAACAATATATACCTCATGTCATTTAATTAGCAAAAATGAATGAGTGGGAGAAACATACCAAATCTTTTATCCTCATATTAATGTCATTTCTCCAATCATCAATTGTATTCCTAATGCGATTAACCAAGTCACGTTTTCTCTCCTCAATATCATCAATCACAGAACCAACACCTAAAGTCATTTCCGTCAACTCTTTTTGTAATAAAGAGATGATATTGTTTCCACTACCAACAGTCAGTGTATCAAATGCAAGGTCTTCTCTCCATGTTAGGATCATCTGCAATGCATTAATATGAACTAGTCTTCCGCGACTGTCAAGTGAAATAACAATAGGTTCCCCACCACTCTGAAAACTCGGAGCACATCTCTCCTTCACAAATCTAATGAATTGAGGCGTAATCCTTTTGCATGGATCCAACAACTTTAAACCGGTAATTATTCGTACTGATGGCATCCTTGCATCAGTCCAAAGTTGAGGATAATCTATTATTGGAATCAAAATAATCCAAGGACTAATTTTGAACTTGGACATGTGATGATATAGAAAAGCAGCCTCAGAGAGATTTGTGTCTGACACTATTATCAATAGCACCCTCGTGTCTTTTAATTCACTGAATGGAACATGACGAGGTATCTAAAAATTATAATTTTAGAGATCAGGTTAACGTCATTATAATAAATTTCTGAAATTGTCTAACAGTATGCATGCTATAATAAATTTCCGAATCAAGCTAAGAAGTATTATTATACAATAGTTATGTGTGGAAACGTGTTCACCATGCGTATGGTAAACACAGCGGTAGATTCATAATTTCTATACAGTAGATTCAATTTTTTTTTTTTGAAAACGTAGCTAGATTTATAATTTAGTTTTTCATTTGTCGTTAATAGGATAGATCCATAATTTCTAAGCTGTAGATTCATAATTTCTATACTGTAGATTCATAATTTCTATACTGTAGATTCATAATTTATGTACTGTAAATTCATAATTTCTATATCTATACTGTAGATTCATAATTTCTATACTGTAGATTCATAATTTCTGTACTGTAGATTCATAATTTCTATACTGTAGATTCATAATTTCTGTATGTGGATTTATAATATATGTAACAACAAATGAAAAACAAATTTATGAATCTATGTTTTCAAAAAAAAAATTATGAATCTACAGTATAGAAATTAGGGATCTATCATGTGTTCACCATGCGCATGGTGAACACGTTTCCACGGCATAATTTGCGATTATTATATGAGTGCAAGTTTATAAATATCTAAAATTATAATTTTGTTCGGTAACCCCAGAATATTTTGTACTATGTAATTCTATTTTATTTGTAAGGAAGTAGATAATATGGAGTAGAACATTTCCTGTTCACTATTTCTCCATTACATTATTTTTTTCAATGTGATGGGAGAAACCTGCAGTCATTACTTGAGAGTGTACATTAGATAAATATTGTCTTGTGGTGTTAACCAACAAAGGACGACAAAGAGTTAAACCAGCTTAGATTTCTCATAGCGTATCGGCTCAAACTAAAAAGACCAATAGAACCCTCCTATTAGGATCAAACTTGTAACCTTATGGCCTGGTTATCAAGTTAATAGTATGACCAACTTGACTAAGGTGAACTCGTTACTTTACAATATTGTTATTATTACTCCGTAATTAAAGATGACTTTCATATGCATGATTCCTTAGTCAAATCAGTAATATTTGATTTACATAATACTGGGAATGCATTTTACACACGTCCACTTTAACATGCAAGATAAAAAATGTCAATAGAGGTTTTACTCACTGGTTCGACAGTACATATTTGAAAGAAGATAAAAAAAAATGTTGGTTAATGTTCAAATCGAATGCTCAATTTATGTTTGAATATATTTATTTATTAGGAGAATAAAATTCAAATACTTACCCCACTAGAATGAAATATCACCTCAGAATCATCATTGACATTGAATATTAACTTGAGAACATCGAGATTATTATGAGAATGACTAAAACCATGCAATAATGCTTTGTAAGATTTCTCTGCTCTCTTTACTTCTGCAAAAAATACAAAATTATAATTAACACTTAAAATACATACAACACACATATATTGAATTTGCTTTTGATCTTGAGAGTTAAAGTACATGGTAACGGTTTGAAAGCTATCATTTGATTGGCACCAACCTAGTAGTGGGTAACAAGCAGAGAGTATGGTTTTGGATTTGGCAATTAAAGTAGATTCTTCCATTACGTCATTTTTGGACCTGGAAGGCAATAATATGTGTTGAAACATTAGAAACCCCTAATCAATAAAACTAACCTTTTACTTTTATCGCATTAAAAAAGTTTATATACTCTATGCGTGGGAGAGCGGAGTCTAAGGAAATAAACTCAACACTAATTGTTATGCAAGTATAAGGAAATAAATAATGGTGAATCCATAAATCTTCTTCGGTGGGTGGGAAAGATTAAAATTTAAAAATAATGATTTATTTTTTTTTAAAAAAAGTGAAATAGTTAGAGGGTGAGCCATAAATAGTGTTGACTATGGATGTTAAAAAAATGTGAAATAAAAATTTTTTAAAAAATATGAAACATAATTAATTAGATAAAATGGTTCGAATGGAAAACACATTATAAATCACCAATCTTACTATTAATATTAAAAAAAAAAAAAAAAGTCATAATGTTACAAAAAAAAAAATCCAATTAGAATTTGAAATATTTTAAAATGCCAAAAATTAAATTTCAAAAATCTATGCCATGGAATTCGAACTCCTAGTAATTAAAATAAAAATCATATATTTTATCATCTAAGCTAACTCATCCTTTATTAAAATTTATGTATATTTAGTACTTATAAATGTTTAGTATATATATATATATATATATACATAATACATAAGAGCCCTCACTATGAATCCGCTTTTAGAAATAAGGTTGTCTATTATCTCTTCATTATTTACTATAGTTTTAGTAGTTGTAAGCGTTGATCCAGAAACCGATTGAGTTATTGATGCATGTGTGCTAGACACTAAATAGAGTGAGCTATGCAACAATAATATAATCTCTAGAGCATGCAGGAAATAAAATAATATATTTGATATTAAATTATATTAAATACTTACTCAACACAAAGAATACACTGGGTACAAATAAGAATGCTCCTGGTAATCCAATAAGTTGCCAAAATTACTGGTTGTGGTGGAGAGAAAGATGGTGGTTGATTAAGCTCATTCACACACTTAACAAAGTTTATAATGAGCTTAACAATAGAATCATCATATATTTTCTCAGATGACGCAACAATTAGATTTTGCTTGAAAAGTCTCAACTTGTTTGCTAATTTGTTCCAATGACAGTGTTGAGAAATATTGATGAAATCTCCACAGATTAAGGAAAAAGCCGCAAGCATCATGACTACCTTGGTGTCCCAAGGGTAGGTGGATAGCATGCTTAGCAGATGGATGGTTATCGAGTGATAATCAATATTATTCAAACTCTTAAACACTACCTGCAGTAAAAGATAATATAATGGACATAATAAAATCAAGAAAAAATTAATATAATAATCGTCTAGGTCGATAAGGACACGAAAGTAATAAATAATTAAATATTACAAGTGTAATACAAATATTTAATATATTTAACAACATTTAAAATTTGCAATATTCATAATTGAAGTATGCTTTTTGTCGCAACTAAAAGGCAGGCTAAGTTGACGTCTTGACGATGATATATAGTTGAATCACTTACACAAACATATATGTATGGTCATATGAGAACAATATAATGCTTCTACTAAAAATTAAAATGTGAAAGAACAATTCAAATGTGTGCAATAATGAGGAATTATATATATAGTGTGCCAAATGCTAAAAAATTACCTCAAAAGAAAGTTGTCTCACTTGGTATGAGAGTTCCTTCTGAATGCACTTTTGTGGCATTAACATGTCTTTCTCAATTTCTCCCGAAACCTAAATTATATCATATATATGTTCCTCCATTACTATCAAAATGTGTCAAAAACATCAATCAAGAAGCTAAACTTGAGTTAATAAAAAATTTAACATTTTAATGTTTTTACTTTGATTTAAACTAGTACAGAGTACCAAGAACTTTATGGTTCAATGGTACTATGTTGAACTCTCACATGGGAGGTTGTGGGTTCGAGTCTCAATGTGTTTCAATAGGTTGAACAAGTAGTTGTACGTGAACATTTACTCTATTCTAGTAGATAGTAAATAGTGTTAAAAAAACTAGTACGGAGTAACATTTAGTCATAAGACATGCATTAGGGCTTGAAAATAAATATGTGATGATAAGCAATTAAGTTGACAAACCAGATAGTTAAAATTGAGAATATTTTTCGCATAGCTCAAAACAAAATTTGCATTCAAATTGGTGGCACCATATATATATGCATTGGGATGATGAGTAGCCTTCACTTCATCCGCGATTGCAGCGTCATCATGGCTGGTTGAGGATACCATGTTTGTGAAATCAATGGCTGGTTGAGGATAATTAGCTTGAAATCAATGGCTGGTTGAGGATAATTAGCTTAGTTAATACTAGGCTTCTTATATAGCAATACAAAATTAGGAATCAAATGGGACAGTATTACTTATTAAATTCATCATTATTTTTAAGTAAGATTCCTTGCCTAATGTTTATTTCGATTAGAAATTTTTTCATCTTCAATTCCTTGCTTCAAGTCTACTCAAATTAATTGGGACTTTTTATTAAGAAATTCCCTGCATAAACTTTATCTCAATTAGAACTTTTTTTTTTTAATAACATATTTTTTCTTAACATTTTTTAATTCCTCGGTATGAGGTTATATTCCTTGCTCCAAATATGCCCAAAACACATCGAAGTATGTATGTACTCAGATTAGTGCAAAAACTGCCCCTAAAGTACCAAAAAAAAAAAAAACAATTTAAACCCCAAAAGAATTAATGCAAGATTAGATTCCTTGTGTATTTTTGTAAGAGTTGGTGTTGATTTGTCATTTGATGTGTTAGCTTAACTAGCTAGGATTTAAAAAGCCAAACACCTTATACTCAGATAGCATGTAGTGACATTTTCCATGTGAGGTTATGAGATTGAGCCCCAGTGCTTTATTAGTACTTGAGAAAGTATGTTTGAACAGGTACTATAATGTAATAGAGTCAGTAACATTTAAAATTTTAAAATTAAAAAAAAAAAAGTAAAACAATTGCCAGAGCGATGGTGTAAAAAAAAAAGTCAGAGTGCATGAATAATAATAATAATAATAATAATAATAATAATAATAATAATAATAATAATAATAATAATAATAATAATAATAATAATAATAATAATAATAATAATAATAATAATAATAATAATAATAATAATAATAATAATAATAATAATAATAATAATAATAATAATAATAATAATAATAATAATAATAATAATAATAATAATAATAATAATAATAATAATAATAATAATAATAATAATAATAATAATAATAATAATAATAATAATAATAATAATAATAATAATAATAATAATAATAATAATAATAATAATAATAATAATAATAATAATAATAATAATAATAATAAATAATAATAATAATAATAATAATAATAATAATAATAATAATAATAATAATAATAATAATAATAATAATAATAATAATAATAATAATAATAATAATAATAATAATAATAATAATAATAATAATAATAATAATAATAATAATAATAATAATAATAATAATAATAATAATAATAATAATAATAATAATAATAATAAATAATAATAATAATAATAATAATAATAATAATAATAATAATAATAATAATAATAATAAATAATAATAATAATAATAATAATAATAATAATAATAATAATAATAAAATAATAATAATAATAATAATAATAAATAATAATAATAATAATAATAATAATAATAATAATAATAATAATAATAATAATAATAATAATAATAATAATAATAATAATAATAATAATAATAATAATAATAATAATAATAATAATAATAATAATAATAATAATAATAATAATAATAATAATAATAATAATAATAATAATAATAATAATAATAATAATAATAATAATAATAATAATAATAATAATAATAAATAATAATAATAATAATAATAATAATAATAATAATAATAATAATAATAATAATAATAATAATAATAATAATAATAATAATAATAATAATAATAATAAAAAATAATAATAATAATAATAATAATAATAATAATAATAATAATAATAATAATAATAATAATAATAATAATAATAATAATAATAAATAATAATAATAATAATAATAATAATAATAATAATAATAATAATAATAATAATAATAATAATAATAATAATAATAATAATAATAATAATAATAATAATAATAATAATAATAATAATAATAAAATAATAATAATAATAATAATAATAATAATAATAATAATAATAATAATAAATAATAATAATAATAATAATAATAATAATAATAATAATAATAATAATAATAATAATAATAATAAATAATAATAATAATAATAATAATAATAATAATAATAATAATAATAATAATAATAATAATAATAATAATAATAATAATAATAATAATAATAATAATAATAATAATAATAATAATAATAATAATAATAATAATAATAATAATAATAATAATAATAAAAAATAAAAGTTAGGAATCAAATGGGACAATAAAGCACTTATCAAAATTGTCAATATTTTTATCTTCGATTCCTTGCCTCATGTTTACATCAATTAAGAATTCTTTTCATCTCCAATTCCTTGCTTCAAGTCTACTTCAATTAATTGGGACCTCTATTTATTTATTTATTTTTTATTTTTGGTATTCTCAATTCCTTGCATAAACTTTACTTAGCTTCAATTAGAACTTTTTTTTTTTTGGTATGACTCTATATAATGATCTAAAATGTAAATATCAAGTTATGACACTTCAGACCCCAAAGTAGGCAAAAAAAATGTGCAATTATCTAATATAGTAGGTTAATAGAAGATAAAAATTGAGTTTGTGGTAAATTATACATGCTTGGTTGAATTTCTTGTGTGTTTTTTCAAGAGTTGGTGTTAATTTGTCATTTGATATGATATTAGTTTAAATAACTAGGATTTAGAACAATATTTTTAAAAAATTAATAAACTTGCCGGACAAAGGGTAGAGGAAGATAACCTTGTCTGACTGTCTTCTTTATCGTTTTTGATGTAGTATTAATTTGCAGCCAATTCAGCTTTTACATGTTAACCTACTAAATGAGCAAATTATATTACACATTTTGTTCACTTGTGGGATATGATTGTAGAGTTTTTTATTTTTTTTATTTAAAAAAAAAAATTCTTAAGACGCTTATCTGCACTATAAAGATTGGGGTTCAGCCTTTCTTGGAAGAATGATTACTTTGTTTGACACTTATTCTAAAGGTATTAGAGAAACTCTCATGTAGCGTATGTGTCTTAGCTTGTTACCTTCTTCTTGTCTAAAGAGATCCTTAAAAAAAAAAACAAAAATACAAAAAAAAAAAAAACAAAAAAAAAAAGAAGAAAAAAAGAACCTTTATATGGAAGAAACAATGTCTAAGAATAAAGTTAATTGGAGTACATAGATAAGAATTTTATATTTCCATAATTTCATCTATTCAAAAGCGGATATAAATATTTTACCACCATTGTTAATATTATCGTTCCAATAGTGACAATGTTTAATGAAGTAAGTAACACTGCGAAAAAGATAGTTAGTAATTCATATATATGTTATTTTTCTCAACTAGTAATTCACCCGCGCGATGCACGGAGAAAAATTATGTTATTATAAATATAAATAAAAAAATAGAAAAATAAAAATATTTTAAATTGTTTAATATAATAATATTTTTGAGCTTCCATTCGTCAAGTATTTATTATTTTTATAGAATACAAAATTAAAATTAAAATTAAAATTTTGTATGGTTAATATAATCTCTAATTATATACATATTCAAATAAACTTATAGAGAGAATTTACATAATTACATTGATTTATTCTTAATTGTATTTCATCTATATTATAATTTTCACAATACGAATAATAACTAAGATAATTACATTTAAAAAGCAAATTTCAAATTTTGTATGAGTAAATTTAAACTCTAATTGAACACATTTTTTATATGATTATATAATATATTCTTTATGCACATGTCATTCCATAAACCCAAATGCCATTCTATAAGCCTAAGATCACTTTTTGTGGAGATAATTCAAATGTATTTTTTTTCTTTTAAAAGTCCTAAGTTTAGAAATCCAGAAAAACATTAAAGACACATATGATATATACATTTATATATATTTAAATTTTTATTTATGGCTCAAATGATTTTTTTTTTTATTCTGAAGTCCAATAATTGACCCACGGCCCGCAGCATTTGCTTTCTTCATCCATTCTCGCTTCTGCCATTTCTTTGAAGCATTTGAGAGGGAGAAAAATGATATGTAGAGGCTTGCATTAATTTCACTGTTTCAGATATCGAATAGGCTTTCATAGAAAATTTAATTAATATTGTAATCCCAAGAAGCACCATAAATAACAAAAGCATATCAAATAGACTTTCATTGTAAAGCCATATAAATAAAGTTACAAACTAATATCCCAATACCAAATACCAATAAAACATTGCTTGGTGGAGCAATGGAAGTGGAATCTAGCTAGTTCTGCAATTCTTGGAATTATGTGTCTGTTGAAGCTGTAGCATCCCAAATCTTTATTAAGAGGAGGGATGTTGCAGCCATGTTGCTGATTCCTCTTTGGAAAATGATGCATCATGTTGACTTTTGCTAGCTGGAGTTTGGAGCTTGCAGTACAGAATGAAGCAATATTTTAACTAGGCCATGTGGTTTGAAAATCTGGGAGTAAAATGCAAGTAGAACATTGTGAT